TGGTTGACTCTTAACTTTTATAAAGAATATCTCTTTGGATTTGAGACTTTAGTCTTTGCAACTTTACAGATCTTCTTTAGGCACCAAGAGCTTGTAACACTCCAAAGAGAAAGGAAAAATTTAAATCGCATTATATGACCCCTTTAAGCTATTACTTGAAGGTCAAAACTGGCACACACTGTCACCAGCAGTGCAAAACTGCATTCAGGAAGTTGCGGTTGGGTGTATCGGACAAGATATTGACTGTCTGTGTTTCTCACTTTTCCACTGATCTCAACTACCAGCCTGAGAAATGCAGTCTATCCCTGTCCATTTATCTGATCCCAGATCAGTGTTTCTTTGGCTTTGAAGGCTCATCTATCAGTCTCAATTTCTAGCCCATATACAAACAGCATATTCTTACTGCCACTAAAGTGCATTGCTTGCGTGTAAAGTGTGTGTGCGTGCTTGTATATACAGTATGCTCAATGTGCGCGTGAGACCATATCAGCTTATCAGACGCAAATCGCATAAACAAACCCTGGATCTGAAAATGAGAATTACATTTTTTTTAGGTTGAAATATGAGAGTAATTGAGACTCTGACGTCACAAACTGTTGAGAAAACAAGTTGCCACCAAATGTATTGCAGTCACGGATAAAAAAATAAGCGTGAAACCAAAATTTAAAAACGCAAGTAAAATTACATTGCACAAAGTTTAAAAATTAAAGCAAAGTTTTCAGAATAGCAAACAAGGGTCACGGATCAAAAAATAATAAGTGTAAATCAAAAATGTAATAACACATTTAAAAAAATAATAAGCACGAATCAAAATCACATTTAAAATCATATTGCACAAAACTGAAATATTATTGCAAAATTATCCGAACTGCACACAAAATCATGTTTTCCTTGGTTATATTTCTCTGTTTTTTATGCTCTCAGACATTTTCTGCACATATTTTTATTTTTTGTATGCTTATGCTATTTTTCCCTTTGCTCTTTATTCCACGTTCTGCTCTTCTTCCAAATGTTGCGGTTAGAGTTTCATGTAAATCAGGGAGGGCTAAAACATCATCATTGGTCCACTAGTTCTAGATTGACAGCTCTTCCTCTAGCCAATCAGTCGAAGAGGGGCGGTGACGTCTCTCCAACGCGCTTCATTACTGCCGGTGCTCAGTGTTCTGTTCACTTGTACAGGTGAAATGGATAACTGTCAGCTGGGAAACATCTTTCCATACAAGACACCGTTATATATGTCTGTCTGTCACTGCTGTTCGCCTACCTGGCGATCCGTTAACGTTAAATTAGTAAATCTGTAAATTAATTTTGAATTAATGTAATGTTTTTGCATTGAAAACGATGCAACGATTACAGAGGCCAGGTGGATTTGATGTACACAATGATTCATTCAGTGAGGAATAAAGCGAATCATTAAATACGAAAGGCTGCTGTGTTGCTTGTAGAGGACACTGTTCTGCTCTGGCTTTGTTTAGACTCTTTGTCGAAATAGAGCAAAATGAGAAAATAGTTATTATTAATAGTTACTATTAATAGTAAACTCACTCAAAATATACTTCTTGTTATATTGATTCAGTTCAGTAAACATTTGCAATGGTCCTGCTATTAGGAAAAACACTATTTTCTTCGTGTTTTGCTTAACTGTATGTCATAAAATAAATTATAGTGCCATTCTTTACAAACAACATTTATTTTAAATGCTAAGCCTATAACTCATTTAAAAAGAAACTAAAAACTGAACCTCCTGCTGGGCTCGCATGTCTCTCATTTCCATGAGTGAATCATTAGACGCGGTGTAACATTTGGTTGATAAACTATTAGCCTATTTATCCATTTTCACCTGTAAAAGTGAACAGAACACTGAGCATTGGCAGTAATGAGGCGTGTTGGAGAGATGTCACCACCCCTCTTCATCTGATTGGCTAGAGGAGGAGCTGTCAATCTAGAACTAGTGGACCAATGATGATGTTTTAGCCCTCCCTGATTTACATGAAACTCTAACCGCAGCATTTGGAAGAAGAAGCGCAGAACGTGGAATAAAGAGCAAAGGGAAAAACAGCACAAGCATACAAAAAATAAAAATATGTGCAGAAAATGTCTGAGAGCACAAAAAAACAGAGAAATATAACCAAGGAAAACATGGTTTTGTGTGAAATTCGGATAATTTTGCATTAATATTTCAGTTTTGTGCAATATGGTTTTAAATGTGTTTAAAGTTTTGATTTGTGCTTATTATTTTTTAAAATGCTTTATTACATTTTTGATTTACACATTATTTTTTGATCCGTGACCATTGTTTGTTATTCTGAAAACTTTGCATTCATTTAAAAATTTTGTGCAATATAATTTTACTTGCGTTTTAAAATTTTGGTTTCATGCTTGTTATTTTTTTTTTATCCGCAACTGCAATACATTTGGCGGGAATGTGATCCCATAGAAACTGCCCCTATGACGCAGGTGTGGTTATTTGAGCTTGCCAGGTCAATCCAGTGTCCAGTGGTATGTGATCTTCATGCTGTGGCATTTTCCACACACAAATTAGGTAGAGGAACACATGCATATTCTCAGTTCTAGAGTGGCTTTTTCAAATATGCTTATTATGAATAAAGTGTTTTATGTACACTATCAGTCAAAAATGTAGAGTCGTTTGGTTTTTAAATGTTTTTGTTAATGCAAAGTCTCTTATGCTCACCAAGCCTATATTTATTTAATGCAAAATAGTGTAAAACAGTATTATTGAGGAATTTTATTAAAATGACAAGTAAAAGAACTTGTTTGCATATATTTTAAAATGTAATTTATTCCTGTGATGCAAAGCTAAATTTCCAGCATCATTACTCCAGTCTTCAGTCACACAATCCTTCAGAAATCATTCTAATATGCTGATTTGCTGCTCAAGAAACACTTTTTATTAGAATTATTATGTTGAAAACAGTTGTGCTGATTAATATTTTTGGAGAAACCATGATACACTACTATTCAAAAGTTTGGGGTTAAATTCAATAAATAAAAATTAATTCTTTTATTCAACAAGTACGCATTAAATTGATCAGTAAAGACATTTATAATGTTACAAATATTTATATTTTGATTAAATGCAGGGTAAAGGTCATTTCACACTTCTGACTTGATTTCAGATTTCAGACTTGCGAGTCTGAAATTTTCGCACATTAAAAAATAAATATGATCTCACGTTTCAGTCACGTTTACACACTGCCTCCGAAACATTCGTCCGTCATAAAAAATTGGATCAGGTTTAATTTTCTGCGTTTTCGCATCCATAGCAAGCATTTTTATAGGAAAGGATGATGAATATGAAAAGAAAAAACACATATGAAATTTTCGGACTCAGTGTGCAAGGACCTTTAATCCTGAAAAAAAAAACAGGGAAAAAATTATTATTGTTACCATTATTAATAATTGAGCACCAATAATAATTGACAATAACT